ATATAGGTCAGACACTATCTGACCTATTTCAAAGGACATCCATCATTGAAGATATGTATACATCTATAATAATGTTTTTCTGTGTTTAATGATCCTTAAATATGGATTTTATTTACAGCATCCAACAAAATACTTGGGGGTACTGGTGGATGAAAAGCTGGACATGAGCCGGCAATGTGCGCTCACAGCCCAGAAGGCCAGTCGTATCCTGGGCTGTGTCCAAAGAAGCGTGGCCAGCAGGTCGAGGGAGGTGATTCTGCCCCTGTACTCTGCTCTGGTGAGACCCCACCTGGAGTACTGCGTCCAGCTCTGGAGCCCTCAGTAAAGGAAAGACATGGACCTGTTGGAGCAGGTCCAAAAGAGGGCCACAAAGATGATCGGGGGGTGGAACACCTCCCCTGTGAGGAAAGGCCAAGAGAGTTGGGGTTGTTCAGCCTGGAGAAGAGAAGGCTTCGGGGAGACCTTATTGCGGCCTTTCAGTACTTAAAGGGGGCTTATAAGAAAGATGGGGACAAACTTTTTAGCAGGGCCTGTTGTGACAGGACAAGGGGGAATGGCTTTAAACTAGAGGGGTGTAGATTTTGACTAGATAGAAGGAAGAAATTTTTTATGCTGAGGGTGGTGAAACACTGGAGCAGGTTGTCCAGAGAGGTGGTGGATGCCCCATCCCTGGAAACATTCCAGGTCAGGTTGGACAGGGCTCTGAGCAACGTGATCTAGTTGAAGATGTCCCTGCCCACGGCAGGGGGGTTGGACTAGATGGCCTTCAGAGGTCCCTTCCAACCCAAACTACTCTATGATTCTCTGATAATATTTTATTGGAATTTAAGTCTTATTTCTTGTACTACTCACCGTGAATATAAATAATTTCTACGGAAACCTTTAGCATAGAGACAGTCATGAAATTTTAGTGTATTTAAAGATTCCTCATAACATTTCTCTTCTTTAAACCAAAAAAACCTCCAATTCTTTCAGATATTTTCACTCTAGTCTAATAGTTTATATGATATAGTCTGAATGGTAAATTCTATTTTAACTTTAAACTGTCAGGCTGAACTTTTCTATGCAACTTTTCTGTTCAGTTTATTTCTTCTTTTCGATAAAAATGTTCTCTCTGGAAATTTCTTTTCAGCAAAAATAATTCTTCTGCCTTAAAAAATGAGGTGAACACTTGCGGTTCTTACATTTACAAAACCATTTTGTTCAAAGGTTCATGTTTTGGAGAAAAGGCTCGAAATATAGTAGGCAATTTTCCAGATGTGAAAGACTATTTTTGCCTTCCTATTTGGTATTTTTGCCTTACCTATCGGAATTCGGTCAGGTTATAAACCCATAAAAGTCTTTTTTCCCATTTGGTAGACATCTGTGAGATGATGCTAGCTTAATTATCCTGTGCTGGAGGTTCTCCACTGCAGAGAATTTATGCAGCTTGGATGAAGATACATCACCCCTAGGCGTGACTCAGCACACGTCCTCCCTGGGGCGCAGTGCCTGATGGCTGGCACAAGAGGCCAGAGATCATGTGCCTGAGCCTGGAGGCATGAGAAGAGACAGGAACATAATGGCTTGTGGCAACTGACAGAAAGAGATCTCGGTTTCTTTGGCTCCAGGCACACATCTCTGTACAGACTAGAGTTTCAGAAAATTTCCATCGGCCACTGTGTCCACTTCAAGTTTCTCTTCAAGGTGCCTCTTCCTCACTTCCACAGCTTCCTTCTTCCTCTTCTTTTGAAGGAGTTTCTATCCTCCTCTTGTACCTTCTTTTGCTTCAGTGATGTATTCCCATTTTCCAGATCTCCTTTTGCACCAACTCCCTTCTTCCCACCCCTCTTCCCTCACAACGCTTACTGCCTGTCTGCCTTTACACCTCAGTGAGCATCCCTGCAAGACACTGCAGCATGCTCTGCAGAAGTCACTGCTTCAGGCTGCCTCTACCATAGAGATCTGTACACTGTGCTCTACTACGTGCATGGACATAATCCAGGATGATCGAGGGAACAAAAAAAAAAAAATCTATCCCATGCTAGAAATTGATGTATTTAGCCCAATAAAATAAAGCCTGAAGTGATATGAGTGCTCTTAACTTGTAAATCAGGAAAATCCAGGAGGATGGAAAACATTTACCTCTCTATTATCAAATTATACTGCTAAAATTATTACAAGGAATTTTAAAATAATGGCAAAACAACTTTCTCCCCAATCCCAGATTGTCATACACTCTGCATCTGTTTTAGCTAACACTTTTAATTACAAGGTCAAAATGTTGAGAAGATGGACTTCATCATCACGGCTAAAGCGTCAAAAGTTCTGTGCATCTGACAAGAGTAACTAACAGGAGGCACCAGCTAAGTCAGTGGGGAATGCTCACAAGAACTGAGTACCCCTGCTAAAAATGTAGCAGAAGGGGCATTTAAACTTTTGGATACTTGCTTGTCCTTATGCTTTCTTGACTGAAAATAAAAGTCACCTCTGAGTAGCAGATATTTTCATGCATTAAAAAAATCATTAGGTGGGTTATCAAAATACATTTATGACTGCTGACAGTGGTTAAAAAAAAAAAGAAGAAAAAGGATTACCCTATAGTAGCTAGAGACTGCAGGACTAACGCAGGACCTCTGGGGAAGCTAGTATTACTGGGTATTACCTGGTATTACCTATAACTGGGTAGGACTGTTTAAAGCTGTTGAAAAGAATTTGACAGAACCCCACTTTAACTAAAAAGCCCTGACATTTATGCTTTATTAACTTTGCTTTGTAAAAAATATAATGCAGTGAAAAATTAGATCCTGGTAATGAAAGGCTAGTGGGAAAAGGATAATTATGACTTAGATCAACTGGTGGAGAAGCCTCCACAGGCTCAATAATTATGAAATCATTCAACCTTTTAAGACTCCTCCAGTCTTAACCTTTTAAGATTCCTTTAAAATTGCTTGGTTCAAAAATAAATAGTGAACATCATCTGCATTTTAGAATAACTCCCCAAGTTCTTCTTTGTACGTGAGAACATAGTCATCAGAAGGCAGTTCAATATGCCTTAAAGACAGAAAGGCAAAAAAGCAGAAACACCCAATACTAAAGCACTGGAAACACCAACAGGAGCTTACCCACCTCTGGGCTCCCTACTCAAACAGAGGCAGACAAAAACATTCAGAAGGCAAACCTCCTGGTGATAACTCCTCCTCCCTCTCTCTTCACAGACAGTAAGGTCAATATAACAATTACAGAAGCACCTGTAGTAGTGTTTTGTTTCAGATTAATGATATGCTTTGATGCAAATCTCTGATTGTTCCCAATTAAAATGCTTTGGTTTGCATCATGGAATAGTCTCAGACTACATAAACTAGACTCCTTTCTGATTAAGCTCAACAATGCACTCCAAGAGAGTACCTGAAGCGCTCCAAACAACAGAGCTACTCTGAGTAAAACGAAATTAATATAATGTGGACATTAGGTCCCCAGCACTATTAACTCAAGATATCCACTCCTATTGGTGTGATGTGACTTGCCAATGTAGACGAGGCTTATAGGATTCAGGTGAGCAGACCTGGTGGTATAACTAGTATTGGTATATCAGTATCTATAATTCATATTACAGTAAATGTAACATTTTTTATAGAATAAGCAGCATCAGTTACCTAGGATTCTTGCAGGAAATAAAACTTTGAATTTCCTGAGACTAATGCATTTAAAAATCTCAGATATAATTTACAGCAACAATTTCAAGCATTTAAAAGGAAAAAAAAGGCTTATAGATTGTAGATCAAGACAGGACAGACCATCTACTCTTACCTTCTACACCACAAAAGCCATGGAATGTCACCAGTTATGTGATGTGATGCAGATATGCATGGATTTATATTAAACATTTCATATTATGATAGTGCAGCAACATAAGGTAGCACACTACACATCTACAACACACAGCTTTTGTCTTATGTTATTCTCATCATTTGGGTTTTTTGTTTGTTTGGGTTTTTTTAATAGTGCTCCTTATTACACTTTAAAAAGAAACTAGTTTTGCATGATCTGTTAGCCTCCCTCAAAGAAATCATAATTCTTGAAAATTTTCAGTCCAAACATTGTAACTTTGCAAAACCACTCTTAATTAATGACAAAATTATTTGTATCAAACCAGCAACACAGCTACTTCTGTTAGAAATAAAATAAAACTAGTATCTTTTTTTATCTGAGAGCTCATGATGAATTATTTTTCTAATGGACTTTTGTGGATGTATATGTTTCCACACTAACTAGCAGAAAACTATTACACTATATATGTTACATTATTTATAGGTGTATAGCCTACAGGTGGAGTGTGATCTGATGTGGGGGTAGAGTCTCCCTTTGCATCACATCATGTAGCCAAGACAGCACCACGGCATACAGCTACAGCTAGAGAAAAGATGCACTCCAGCTACTGCAGAGCATCCCAGCCTTTTTGCTGTCTTATTAAGAACCAACTTCAGCCACCATTTGGGGTCAAGGAGCCAGAGGAAAGTATGAATGAGCACACATCGTTTGCTGTACCTGACACAGGAGAGTAGCAAACAGGGAAAACAAGATACTATAATTTTATTAGCAGGCATGTATAAAACCGAGCCTGAATATCAACTGGGACTTCATAGTACCTTCGTCTTTAAACTATGGTGAGCTGCGCTGTAGCAATACAGTACCCAGAATGTAGTATGTGCAGTTATGTCAACATAATTATTCTATTGCATAAAGCCACCACGTACATATAGTATATAACTCAAAAGGCTTTGAGCTAGGCAGGTCTTCCACAAGCCCAGCAACAAAACCACACAGGAAGCATTTGTGAAAAACAACAAAGCAGAGGGAATACTAGAGACAAGTAACAACCACCTTTTTCCTTGCCTACTTTCAGGTTACATAAGGATATTCAGCTACCTTGGTACTTCTGTACTTCCACTCTCTCACACACAATTCAGAGGACGACATGGTTTACAAGTTCAGCACATTAATGTTGTCCATTTTCCTACCAGTGCTATCTCTCCTAATCCAAGCTGGGCACGTCCCAAAGTCTGCCAGGCATCCCAGGAACGTGGGTTTCTCTGGACAGCCATTTCTGCTGCATGCACTGCTGGGAACATTTCATGTAAAGACATCAGGACCTATGACAGAAAAAGAAAAATAAGAGGAATAAGAAAAATTGAAAAATAAGCAAAATTGAAAACAGATTTACGTTTTCTGGGATTACCCAGGCAACCACTATTGTTTCAATAACTAAGGACAGGTTCATCTCACCTAGCTTTTACTAGTTTAAAAGTTAGTTGTCTAATCTCAGATAGTCACCCAGACTCATTCCATAGCCTATGGAGAAAAACAGGCATGTTAGAGGATGATTCATCTGAACTATTTAAGCAACTCTATTAAAAGTAGATGAATTGCTTCTGAAGGTGTCCCTCCCTCTCCCTTCCTCCCTACAAACCCCACACTCTGTAAAAGCATAACAGAATACACCGAACGACAAACATACTAAGAATTAAACACAATAAATAAGCAAGTTCTGTTGAAAAACTCGCAGGTTGTATTTTTTCTTTTTAACAGAAGACTGGAATCTACCAAATACATTTGCAGTACACATAAGATAATTATAGAAACAATCCCTGTAATTCAGCATGGAAACAGCCCTTAACAATGACTGTTGTATTTGGAGAGTAAGCATTCTGCAATAGCAAAGCCTAACTTAGACATGAAGTCACCTACATTAAAAAAAAAAAGTGGTTACTGAATGTGGAAATTCAGCAGTACAGGTTAGTGTCAGCCTGTTACCATAGTATTCTACTCCTTGCATTTAATCTCCGTAACTAAGCGTATAAATCATAGTTAACAATACATAACATGGCTCAAAGCTTGCCGTATTTTTCCAAGACCACCATGAGATTGGCACATTACCTGAAGACCTGCATCACTCTGAGATCATGATTTCAGACACCCACATGCTATGGTGATAGATACCAGTATAAGAAACAAATGACAACTGCATTCCTACAGTATGATGAGAATGTCAACCACAAGAGTAAGACTCATGTGTGGGCAACCACTTTCATCCCAACTGACCCACAAGCATGATGAATAATATTAGAACATATTAGGACTACTGCTGAAGCGCAAAAGGCATTTATTTAACCTTACTGTTCTGTAATACGTTAAATAGATAAGTATGAGCGTGGAGTAGAGGAGGATTCAAATGCAATACTCTTGAGTATTTACTTTAATTAACATAAAGTACTTGCACTGGGGTGAGTACAGTAAAAAAAATAGCTTTACTAGAGAAAGTAATCCTGTACTCAAGAAACACAGGAAGCATAGCTTCCAATAAACCCTTTGGATCCATACTCCTGCTCTTTTAATAAGACGAAATTTTTCTAAAGACTAGTCCTATGGCTTCTCTTTAATTCCATTCAATAGGGTGTACACTGGAATTTAAAAGTACCTAAAAATCTTTAAAAAACAACCCACAGCTGTATGTCATGTCATGTCATTTTCCCTTTTTTCCTGAACAGTTCTCAATTACTGTGCTTTCTAAGCAAAGTTTGTAATGAATACTATGTATTTTTCCAAAACTTTCAGTTCAACTGTATTTTTGTGTGTGGTTTCTCTTATCTGCAGCAGATCTGTGAATTGAATCAAACTGTTATAGTGGATAGGTGTACATCCTACCAAGATTAAGTGATTCTGCATCTATCAGCTACCTTTTACATTAATATCTTCATGTGTTTGTTCTCATAAGAGAAAACAAATCCAAGTATACACTCACCTGAACATTTTTATGCATCCTGAGTATTCAGTATTTCCTACCAGTACTTTCTGCAAGACAATTCCAAAACATCTACATAAATATTTAGGAAATCTTTTGCAGTTTTTAATGAATTTTACTGCTTTTTTTACTGAATTGTGACCTCACTAATAAAAGACAATTATTCCACTTCCATCTATTTACCACTGTTGTGTGTACTAATTTAGACAGCTGCTTTGAAAATGCTCTTCCAGGTGATGGTGGTAATCACTGTGCTCCTAGTAACTATGGCATCAGTTTCTCAAGGTACATTCAAACAAATACAAATTTGAATATATAGACATTTTGTCCAGCATAGGTGTTTCAGTTATTAATAAAATGACTCAGCTATACTTGTCAGTCATTATAAAAGAATAAACTTATTAACGCACACTGTTTTCCTACACTTTTGTCTTCAGGTGAAGAGATCATCAAAATGAACATACAATGGCAGACCTGAATGCCTTGCCTTGAGTTACTCTACTTGCGATATCATCACTTTAATAAAATACCTCTACATGCTGGATACCACTGCTACTTGAAAACTGAACCAGCAAACACCAGTTATTCTACATCTGGAAAGTCATGCTGAAAAAGCATTAAAAACCACCACTAGCATAAAGTTTTCTTCTGCACAGATTTGACAAGAGGTGCTCAGTCCTTTTACTGGGGCAGGCGACGTGGACAAGACAAAGCCAGACAGGAACCACGTGTGCTGTAGCCCCCTTTGTCGTACAATGTGCCTGTCACATGCTCAGTGTGCAGCCACGTCAAGCACCAAATCTATGTGTATACACATTGTCCCCCGATAACACACAGTCTAGTGCGGTCTCCATTTCACTAATATGGTAAGGACCTAAAGGGTTATTGTCACTCCTTATACATGTGCCCCTTAGACAGGGTGTGTCCGAAAAGGGGGAAGCCAAGTAGTAGGTCATGGGAATTATACCGTTGGCCTTCGTCAAAACAGAGGTTTCTCATCCTGAACTAGCTTAACATATCAGTCTAACAAAAACCCACAATCATACTTCTAATTCCATATATAGCATTTCATGCACAACACATACGTCAGTATTCATACATACTTGAATAATATAATATAATAATCTTGAGTTCTGCATGACAATACAAGATGTGAGGCTTATTTTCAAGGGTGCAGCTACTCTGAAATACTACTTCCATTGCATTTCAGATCTTCTTGCATAACTTATCGCTAGTTTAAACATACCTAGAACTGATCTCCTTTCCTCCTTCCCAATCATCTTACTTTCTTTTATCTGTAGTGCTGTGATTACCATGACAGTATCATTTTTAATTTTCTCTTCCTTCACATAAATTTAGTCTACATTTATGCCTTGTATAAGAGCAAGGTTATTTTGTTATCTGCAAAACTCTTTTCATTGTCTTGATTATGTTCTCTTTATTGTTGGTTTCCTTGATCCCTACACATCACACCGTAATGGACCAAAGTCCATTTGACTTAATAAAAAATTAGACACTCAATGAGTGTCTTGTTCAAAGTCTTGCTCCCACTTTCTACTGCATACAACTTGATTTTCTCCTCTCATTTTAAGAATCTATATTATTTGTTCCCTTTTATTTACCTCTTTTTGAGTAAGTTACTATTATTTTATTTGCTCTAACTAATTATTGCATCAGCATAATGGTCTATTTTTCTGCTTCTTAGAAAGATGCTCCCAGGTCTTCTTTCATTTCAGCCCATATGCTTGAAATACTTGAGCTGATCAGAAAACTATTATCTTTTCACTCAGATGTGTGACTGAAACATGAATCTGGAAGCCAGTAGCAGTCCCTACACCCAATTTGAGCAGAATGCTTGCTGCTACTCTTACCTTTGCTCAATTTTATCTCATTGTCACAGTCATTTATTTTCTTTATAAGTTTGTTTACACTTAGACATTTAACTTCAGTAACTGTTTTGAAACATTCTGTATAAAATAGAATAAATAGCACACGCCCCCAAGGGCTCCCTCCAGAATAAGCATGTTCTTTGATTTGGTTCAATTCCTTTCAAAAGAGCAAAGTGAACTCTCTGTGTAGGGAGTGTTTCTTTTTGGGAACTCTATTGTACTTCATACAACAAACTCTTGACCCTCTTTTAATCCTTTATGGACTACTTCAGTACAATTGACTCTAAACTGCAAGCCATCATAAGCATCAATCCAGACCTGCATTCAATTACGTTACTTCATCAGTAACTTTTGTGCAGTCTCTTTTCATTCAAGTTACATTCACACCGATTTCAATGTGGTTTTGGTGGAGGTTTTTTTTTTGACAGCAGAGATAATTGTCACCCTCTGCTAGTTACTTCCTGCAAAACATTCAGACTACTAGTAAAAACAGGAATAAGCAAGCATTATTATAATGGTTTGTGACCTTTTTACAATAGAGTACTCAGACATAACTTTTTTTTTAAACAGATGTTTACTTTTTAGAGAAACTAATTCAGTTGCATTAGGATATTTTTTCAATGACCAGACAAATAGCATGATGCTTCAGACAGGAACTATGTATCACTTAAAACTCCATTTAAATCCCTCTTCCTCAATGTTTTAGCATTAACTTCGAGTCTTTAGATGGCCATGCATTCAGAAAAATGCACAAATATAACCTTGTCATTTGAGAGTATGAAGATATTAAGCTTTTACTTATCAAAATTATACTGGGGAAAACCTTCATAAAAGAGACAATCCTACCAGAAAAATAGGTCTTTAATCTCTTTTGAAAGCAAGCTATGACAGAAAAAGGCTATTTTGCTAGAATCCCCTAAGGGAAAGATGAAGATGTGTGTGTTTGCTTATGAAAACCCTTTTAAGAGCTGACACACTAAGATTCTATTCCTTTCCGGTTGCTCTCAAATTAATTTCTCAGATGAATTTTCTTTTGCAAACTTCATTAGCAGGATGGCACTCAAGTTTCACAGTTAAGTAATCTCACTACGTATTTGATTTATTTTCCAATTATAGTGATAACACTTCATTAGAAAACATTCTTAAAACTAATCAAACAATTAGGAAAAAAAAATCTTACAAAACAGAAAAAGCATCAAGACTCTCATGAACATATATATTAAGGGAAATGTCTTATAAAGATGTTCAGTAGGTGGATTTTCAGAACTTACTTTATTCCAACATAGACTTACCATTATCACATGCATTAAAACAAAAGAACATCCATGTCACTACAATGACTTAGTTTAATAGATCTAGCTTTAAAAAAATATATATGAGACAGATTAGAAGAATTAGAAGAACTCAGTGGCAGAAAACCAATTAAACATAGCAACTGTCATCGGGAGACTGAGCAAGTATT